GCACTGCTTCTGGCGGTAAGGTCGAAAATGAGGTTCAATGCTGAGGCGATGGGTTATGAAGGAGGGGTCAATACCCGGCATGTCTAAATGGGTCCAGGCAAAGACATCATTGTGCTCGGTCAGGAGGGCAAGTAAGGTCGGCCTTTGCTTGGGGGGATAGTTGGCTGCCGATTTTGGCAGCTTTCGTTGGGTTGGTGGGTTCGATGGGAACCTCCACGAGTTCCTCCACAGGTTCTCCTCTGACCAGCTCGTCCTCATCTCGGATGTCAAGTCCTTCAATGATCATTGCTTCCTTCAGCTTGACTTCTTTTAGTAAGGCAACATAGCATTCCCTGGCCACGGTCTGCTCTCCCCTTACAGTTCCGACCCCCAGATCGGTGGGAAACTTAACGGCAAGGTGATAAGTTGATGTGATAGCTTGGAAGGCATTTAAGGCAGTGTGGCCAAGGGTGATGTTGTAGGCGGATGGGCAGTCGACAACAAGGAAGGCGAGCAACTTTGTAGTCTGCCGTGGGTACTCGCCGATTGTGATAGAATGATCAATGGAGCCGATGGAGGTGACCCGGTCGCCAGTGAAACCAACCAAAGGGTTTGCAGAGGAGACAGACTTTCCTCCCCAATTTTGAGCTGGCGAAAGCAGTTGAGAAAGATGATGTCTGAAGAACTGCCGTTGTCGATGAGAACTCATCTGACCTTGTAGTTGGAAAGGAGGGCAGAAATGACTAGAGGGTCATCATGAGGGTAGCGAATGCCTATACAGTCGGCATCCATGAAGGTGATAGGCTCAGTCCACTGCTTGGGCTATTTGGAGGGTCGATCGACCGTGGCAACTGCTTTGTCTAAGCCCTGCCTGATCTTCTTGAGTTCTGCCCTCTGAGCCAAGTGGGACGGTTCCCCGCAAGCAAGGCCGCCTGAAATGACTCTGATTTCTTCAACAGGTGGAGGGGGGTTGCCTGGCTTCCGAGGTTGCTGTGGAGGGTGATCATGGCCTTAGTTAGGTTGGGCTGGCTGCCGGGAAGGGTGCGCCGGCGGTTGTTTCTGAGGGGCTCAGTTCTTTGCGTCTGCTGAGAGCGGGTGTCCGTGAACCGGCTAAGACGTCCCTGGCGTATGAGGGTCTTGACTTGAGCTTTGAGGTTAACGCACTCATCGGTGTTATAGCCATGGTCCTGGTGGAAGCGGCAATATTTGGACTGGTCTTTCCGATTGGAAGGGGTTCGTGACGGTTGGGGCTATTTAAGGGGGTAGTCCCGCTGGATCTGATTGAGGACTTGTTCCATGGGGGAGTTAAGGGGTGTGTAGCGCTCGAACTGACCGGGCGGTCGGACTGGTGCCGACCGGTCAGCTCGAGGGGGTCGGTCGGTATAATGTGGTGTTTGGCTATTATACTGGGTGTTTCTGGGTTCTGAGTCTTTTCTCTTTTCTCTGGGGGCCAGGTTTTTGGTTATGGGATGTTGCCCGGCGGTTAGGAATCCTCAGCATTCATGTATTTTTGGGCTTTGGAGAGTAGTGCCACCATGGAGGTCAGGGGGTTTTTAGAGAGGGAGAACAGGAAATCGGACGACCGCAGACCGGCCATGAAAGCAGTGAGGATGACCTTGTCATCATTTTTCGCTACTTGCAAGGCCTCGGTGTTGGAATGGGTAACAAAACTGGGTAGCGACTCCCCCTCGGTCTGCCGAATGTTGAGGAGTTGGGTTACCGGGCGTCGCTGGCGTTAGGCTCCAATAAAATGGTTGAGGAAGGAGTCACTGAGATGTTGGAAAGTTGAGACGGAGTCTGCTGGTAACTGGCTAAACCACAGCCGAGCTGACCCCTACAGTGTCACGGGGAAAGCTCGACACATGATCTCGTCAGGAAATGCATGGTTGATCATGAGGGTTCTGTAGGTCTCCAGATGGTCGACTGGGTCCGTCGTACTGTCAAAAGAGTCAATGGTGGGCATCTTGAACTTGGGGGGTAGAGGTTTGTCGCGGATGGAGGCGACAAACGGTGAGTTTGCTGTGGTAGAGGGTTTATGCTGGATGTTCTGCATGACCCCTTGGAGTTGGAGCTTCACGGCTTGGAGTTCCGCGTCCCAGAGAGGGATGTGGTCACCTCCAGAGGGCAGCGGGGGCTGGACGCTGCTAGCCTCTCCTTCAAGGATTGATGGCGGGATCGATGGTTGTGGGCCCCGGGGTGGTAGGTTTATACCTGGAGGAGGGGGTTGCAAGCCTTCTCTGTTGGGCGGATTAGGCTGCGGAATAGTATGGCTCGGGGCTTGCTCGTAGTTGGGGGGAATATCGGGAGGTGGTGGAGGGGGCATAGGAAGGTTTCTTTGGAGTAGGGCATTGATCAGGGCTTGGTTTTGCTCGGCCATGCGGTTAAAGCTATTGGTAAGCTCGATGAAATATTGTGGTGGGTTGTTTGGATTAGGGGGGTCGGCTTGGTGGTCGGCAGTATTTTGGTGAGAAGCCATGGATCTAGTCGTGACCATACAGTTCGATGGGTAGCGAGAAAGGGGTATTGGAACAGGGTCTCCGGCGACAGTGAACACAACTGGCGAGAGGAGCAAAGTGTTCCCACAGACGGCGCCAATTGATGATACAGTTATTACACAACGAGTCCCGGATGGAATGGGTAGGACTAATCCACGCTTCTTCAACCGGTAACTGAGTGTTCAAGCCCACCAGAAAACCTGCACAGGAGTTCAATGGGGAACGGGAAGTCCCCCAGCGAACCCTCCGACGAGCAAGTTAGAGGGAGAGAGAAGTGAAATGTAGAGAGATGAATTGGAGATAGGAAAACTTAACCTTTTTCTTGTCTTCAACGTTTGCTTATATCCTTTGGTCATCATTTCGATGTCCCTTCCGACCTGCAATCTTGGATGAAAGTCTATGCTGTAGCTTACCTTGTTCAGGGTAAGGGGGTGCTGTTCCGACGGAGAGGTGTTGTCGTAGTAAATGCTGTGATGGGCTGCATTAATGGTGATGCGCAGTGGCAATAACTTTGCAGATCTTTGTCTGCTGATATGGCTTGTCCTTTACCTGCCGTATGTCTGAATGTCATTGGCTCTTTATGCTACGTTGGATTCCAGCTGTTCTGGACTTCACCAGCTGGGTTATGTATTGGGCTCCAAGTGATGGGCTTGGGTTGTTCATGGTGGGCTATGGCCTTTATGGGCTTACCCACGTCAGATCATATTTATATGAAACGTAACGTGACACCAACATAAACCAGCAACATTTTCACATTCAATTTAAAAAAATAAAAACTCATTAAGTTTGCGAAACGTAATGTGATACGTTACGTTACGTTTATGTAGGTGTCACGTTACGTTACGTTTATGTAAGTGTCACGTCACGTTACGTTTATGTAGAATCTTGTGGAATACATTCCTATCTAAATAGGACTTGAGATTTTATAAGAAATTATACAGGACTTAGCTACCATAAGTGTCTGAAAAAAGACTTATAAATAAGTCTCCCTTATGTTTTATGGTTATATTAATGTTTCAATTACGTGGATTATTTTTTGAACTTTATTTGCTTAAATTGAAATTCATGGATATGTTTGTTTGAATTTTAGGAAATATTTGACAATGATTTTATAAACATTTATTTTGAATAAGTATTACCACGGAGGTCCTATGCCTTAGGGGACTTAAATAATTATTAGCCCTCTGAATTGTCACTTTAGTGACCCTCTGACAGTCCCATGCCTTGGGGGACTTAAATAACCTTTGGCCCTTTGATTAGTCACTTTGTGACCCTCTGTCTGTCATGGATCTATTGATCCTTTGATCTGTTCTGTACCGTGATTATAATTATTTTATATAATTTTGTGTTATATGTCTGTTATGAAAAATAATTTATTCAAACCAAATTATTTATCATTTAGCCTAAATAATTATCCATGATGATTTTATACCCTCATACTCTCAGTATAATATTTATCACTCTGTCATGTGCTTATAGCTGTTAAAACCCCTTTCAAGTGAAGAAATTTAAAAAAGAATGGTTTTTACCCTGTGGATCAGAATTTCAAATTTGATATGGATATCATGTTTTTTTTTTTTTTCTTCTTCTTGTAGTCATCATCCAACTAATGTTATATCATAAATAAAAATTTTCATGTACGCTTCGGATATTAATCTACCCCTTTTATTTTATGTCTCTGCGTTATTCAAATTAATTATTTGGAATTACTCTGTGGGATTTTAGGATCGCAATCTAGCCTTGGTCATCGGGATGGGTTGTGACAACAATAGATAAAAAAAAGTCACTAAAAATAAATAAAAACTCATATAAAAATAAATTTTGAAAAATCAAACCAAGCTGACAGTATTCACTGTATTTGGTTTCAATTTTTTAGATTCAATTTTCTGAAAATTAATTTTTTTATTTTTCATGTATTTTTTTATTTTTAGTGAATATTTTTAAAATTTTAAGTAATTATTTTACTTTATTAGATGCATGCTAGTAAAATATTTATAAAAAAAAATATTTTAAAAAATTAATAAATACTCAAGAATATAAAAAACGTATTGAATTATCGTATTGATTTTTGGTATTTAGTGAATTTATTAAAAAAAATTTACAAATGTTATACTTTTTAAGTGTATTTATATTAGGTATATTCAAAAATCAAAAAAATTGGTTAAAATATTAAAAAATTCAATAAAAACAAAAAAAAATGAAAAATAAAAAATTTTAATTTTTAAAAAATAAATTTAGAAAATTCAAACCAAACAAGTTGTTTTTTTTTTTTTTGGTTGTCAAAAGTTGGAAAAAATAAGAAAAAAGGGGCTTCTGTTTGGAATGATCTAAATAAGTGTACTTTTTGATTTTTTATGAAATATGAGTTAGGTCTTGATTAGATTTAAAGTAATATGTTAAAGAAATAATATGATTTAAATAAGATAATATGATTTAAATAAAATAATAATTTTTTAATTTTTTGATTTTTTTCAAACATGCCAAACCAAACATCCGTATTAGTGTATTACAATTCACATCTATGCATAAAACTAAGCTGAGGTAAATGAATGCAGCAACCGGTGCAAGCATTAACCAATTCAAAACCAATTTTCTCGACCCATTGATCTCATCACTCTCAACCCAAAAATGGCGAACCTCTTTGAATCTCGATTTTCTCAAGCAAACTCACTCCATCGTAATCACCAATGGCCTCTCTCACCGCAACCCCTTTTTACTCCACAACCTCCTCCATTCTCTCCCCTCCATCTCCCTCTCCTCCGCCGCCGATCTTTCCTACATTTTCACCCTCTTCCGCCGCACGGACTCGCCCACCACCTCCCTCTGCAACTCCATGATCAAAGCCTTCTCCACCAGCTCAGTACCTCGAATGTCAATTTCTTGCTTTGCTATAATGCGCAAAGAAGGTGTTCCTCCTAACAAGCACACTTTCCCTTTACTCCTCAAGGCCTTGTCGAGGTTTCAAATCGGAAAAAACGAGAACCCATTTCAGATTTATGGTCAGATTGTGAAATTCGGATTGGGTTTTGATGGGTTTGTGGGTAACTCGTTGGTTTCTGCTTTTGCAAATTGTGGGTATGTTGGAGTTGCACGCAAGATGTTTGATGGAATGCTGGTGAAAGATTTGATTGCTTGGACTGCGATGATTGATGGGTACGTTAAAAATAGTTGTTCAGTGGAAGCAATGGAGTGTTTCTTGGAGATGAAATCAATGGGTGTTAGGGTTGATGAGGTGACTGTTGTGAGCGTTCTCCGAATGGCTGGAATGATGAGAATTGTTTGGTTTGGGAGGTGGGTTCATGGATTCTATGTTGAATCCGGGAGAGTCCGTTGGGATGTTCATGTAGGTAGTGCTCTTATAGATATGTATTCGAAATGTGGCTTCTACAATGATGCTCGTCAAGTGTTCGATGAAATGTCTCATCGGAATCTTGTTTGTTGGAGTGTGTTAATTGCCGGCTACGTGCAGTGTAATAGATTTAGAGATGCATTGCTTGTTTTTCAAGAAATGCTTTGTGAAAAAGTCGAGCCCAATGAACTTACTTTAACAAGCATTCTCACCGCTTGTGCTCAACTGGGGGCATTGGATCAGGGAAAGTGGGTTCATAGATACATAAATAGAAATGGATTAAAAGTGAATTCAACGCTTGGTACGGCTCTGATAGATATGTACGCAAAGTGTGGGTGTATTAGCGATTCTTTCTTGGTTTTCAAAAAGATACCCATCAAAGATGTATACCCGTGGACTGCCATGATAAATGGGTTTGCAATGCACGGGGATGCTGTGAATGCCTTGAGTCTGTTCTATCAGATGTCAAATTATGGAATTAGACCCAATGAGGTTACCTTTCTTGCTGTTCTTAGTGCTTGTTCTCATGGAGGTCTTGTGGACGAGGGGCGCGAGTTATTTGGGTCAATGAATTGTGTATATAATTTAAAGCCTAAAGTAGATCATTATGGTTGTATGGTTGACCTTCTAGGTAGGGCTGGGCATTTGGAGGAAGCGATGAAGTTGACTTATGACATGCCAATGGAGCCTACTCCTGGTGTATGGGGTGCTTTATTCAGTGCTTGCATGATTCACAAGGGTTATGGATTGGGTGCTCAGATTGGCGAACATCTTATTGAGCTACAACCTCATCATAGTGGTAGATACGCACTTTTGGCGAATTTATATTCTATGTGTCAAAATTGGGAAGCAGTAGCCCGTGTAAGGAAACTCATGAAACAGCAGGGCGTGGAAAAGATACCCGGATGGAGCTGGATTGAGTTAAATGGTTTAATTCAAGAGTTTATTTCCTTTGATAAATCACATAATGAGTCAAAGGACGTATATTCAATCTTGGATAGTATTTCGATCCAGTTAGAGGTTGTGGGTTGTGTTCGAGACACTACTAACCTATGGATGTTTGATGTCGACTGAAGTTGGGGCAACTTCTCCGTACCGATCCTGAAATCTTTCATTGCCAAGAGAAGTGAATTTTTGGGCTTAGTCGATCAGTTTATGAGGCTTCACTGTCTTTCATGCTTTTGACTTGGTTAATTGCTGTAAGTTGTGACACGCGGACTACTTATTTTAAGTCTTCTTTTTTTATTTTTTATTTTTTTTTATTTTTAATACAATTTGTGTGCATAGTTGTCAATACTTCACAATACATGTCACCCCACTTGTGGAAAAAGTCCATGTTGGAATATATTGATACAGATTGCTAGTTTGTACCACACTTTGACTACATCTTATGATACGAACAGGATGCACTATAAGATAATGGCAGTGCACTACATTTGAACAGCTTGTATTTGTTTTTTATTTTATTAGTTTTTTAGACATGTTTACGAAAAATTAGCTGCAAACATATTGGCCTTATTTGGAAAGTTGACTATTCTAATAAGTTATTTTAGTTTTTGGCTATTTTAGTAGATTAAAATTTTTGTGTTTAGAAAGATTGTTAGATTTTTTTATAGTTAGATGTCATGTTTGTAAGAGAAAAAGTGAAATGATTATGGGTTTGATGTGACATTTTGTCTTATTGATTATTTTAGCTTATTTTGTTTTTTTGTGAATTTTAACCTAAAAGCATCTCCGATGGACTTGTCAAACTACTTGCCAAAGCTATAATTTGGCAAAAGTGACAAAAAGAGGGTCTCCAAATTCCAATGGCCTGTTATTCTACTTGCCAAAAATAGCAGATACCATTTCTGTTATCAAATTTGGCAGGTAGAATAGCAGCTGCCAAACATGCCACATCAGCAAATATCAACAGATTTTTAGCTTCAAATTCAGTTGAAAAAACAGAATTGAAACGGCACAAAACCTCCCAAATTTCCTAATCAAACCCAAATTTTAGAATCAAACCCAAATTTCAATACAAATTGTGTGCAGAGTTGTCAATACTTGACAATACATGTCACCCCACTTGCGAAAAAAATCCATGTTGGAATATATTGATACAGATTGCTAGTTTGCACCACACTTTGACTACATCTTATGATACGAACAGGATGCACAATATAAGATAATGGCAGTGCACTACATTTGAACAGCTTGTATTTGTTTTTTATGTTATTAGTTTTTTAGACATGTTTACGAAAAATTAGCTGCAATCTTATTAATTTAGATCTTCTTTTGTTTTGCCAGCAAGCACCATCTACATACAGCAGAATGTGCTTGTTAGATTGGAGGGCGAAAAGCAAGGAGTGTGTTTTGCTGATCATCCCTTGCTTGAGAGCAATTATGGGTGGTTTGATACAAGAAAACCTTCAGGTTGACAATTTAACAAGATAGAAGTGAGCCGATTGTTTTCTTCCATTTCAACTGGTACTGTTGAGTCCCTTAACATAATGTGTAAACTCATAGGTGGGAAGATATGAAATATGTAACAGAGAACTTCACTTCGACATTTTCTTGAACACCAGATCAAAAAATAAAAAAATAAAAATATTAGAAGTAGAATGTGTTGTTGAACAGGGTGGAGATAGGGAATGATATAGAGGTAGGAGAGAGAGAGAGAGAGAGAGAGAGAGAGAGAGATTGGTGCTAGCTTTTGTTGACAATATTTGTTGAAAAGTATAATGGTGAGTTGAGAGACAAATTGAATCCTGATGAACAAGCCTTTTGAGATATGTAAAGTGAAGAAGTTGATGTATAATCTCACTTAAATTCTGTTTTTAAAATGGAATTTTGAATGCAAAAGAAAATAATTTGATTTTGATAAATAAGTTCAAAACAATGTGTTTAACAAATTTGATTTTAAATAGCTCAAATTTGGTAAAAATAAATTAGGCCACAGAGAAATGTGATTAATATTTTTATTTTATTTTATTTTTTATTTTTTGAGATCATAACATTATTGTTCATGTTTATTAGAAAGGTCAAAAAAGAAGAAGAAGAAGAGTAGTTCATATACAAATAAACTTTATGATTTTTTTCACAAATTGATTTAATTTCGATCAAGTTAGAGCATCTCCAATGTTTAATTTTTATTGTTTTTAAGTGTTAATAAAGTTATCTTCAATATATTTATCAAATGTTCATTAAATTAGGGGATAAATATTTTTTCATCAAATTGATAATTTATCAAATCCTTCGTCAAATTTAAAAGACAAAGCTTGGAGATTATTCTTCTTCTTTTTTTTCTATTAAATTTGTTGAAAATATAAATTTGGCATAAAAGGAGAATTTTTTAAAAGATTTGATGAAAATTTGATAAAAGAGTTTGAGTAATTCATTTTAAATTAAATTTTTTTTACTCAAATTTAAAATAAATTAGATAAATTTTTTGACAAAGAGTTAAAGAGGCTCTTAGTATGACTGTTTGAAAGAGTGCTAAATCAAAAAAATAAACTTTCAAAAAAACATGCTCAAAAAAGTTAAAATGTTGGATACATTTCTAACTTTTTGGCATGTAACAAGTTTTTAACCAATGGATTTACCAAAAATCTACTACTAAGTTGTCATACTCCCCAGTGGGGCGGTGGTAACATGGATAATGTATTTGCTTTCTATGGAAGAGTAGGGTTAGACGCTTGAGGGTGTACTCTTCAAAGCTTGTATTATACTCCTATTGCTAAACTTTGTCTTCTACTGTGGATGTGTGAACGAGGTCTATTGTTATTTTGGTGGTGGGTCACTTTTTATGAGTTGAGTTAAATTTAACCGTAATCTGATTATTTTAGGACTAGCAATTACAAATGCTATAATACCCACAATGTGTCCTTTTTTCTAGTTAAAAAAGAAAAAAAAAAAAAGAAAAAGTTAAGTCATACAAACGTTTAACATAAACCAATTAGTTAGAACCATTATAGTTTAACCTAGATCAAAAAATTAAAAAAAAATGTTAAAAATAGTTAGAATTATTGTTAGTGGAACAAAATTTATAAAAATAATTTAAAGTATATTAAAATTATAAATATATTTATTATTTTATAGTATTTTTTAATAACTCTTAAGACTATCAGACTACATTCCTCCTATCCTATTCACACTACCACCTCCAATATACTAAAAACTTATGCTATTAATATAGTACTTGTCACATTAATTTGTAAATATAAATTTTTTATACGCATTTTATAAAAAAAAAATGTTTGTATCTATATTTAAAAAAGATTATTTACAAATAAATCTCATCTCACAATCAATTATACTAATCAGTCCAAACTTTAAACTTTTGATTCGATAAGTCCTACTGGTGGAGAGATTTGGTCATTTTCAGCCTATTTTTCCATGTATGTCGTTATGGTGTGGACGGTTATACCCTTTATCTTTTGTGATTGGTACGTGTTTCGTGGGATCACGTTTTGTTTTTGGTTATGTTGGATAGTGTATTTGGTAAGTCGAATGTTACCTTAGCAGATGACTCAGCCATTGCCGTTAGGGTTTTGAGGTGACTGTGTGCTGGTTTAGTAGAGGGCAGTGTGACGGTGTGGCATACTTAGCAGTTCAGACGTTGGGGCCTCCATTGGTTTGCAGGTATGCCCTGGTTTCTTTGCAACGGTTTTCGAGTCGTTTGTTAGTAGCATACCGATGTCGGAGTAGATTTCAACTGTACATTTTTTTTTTCATGTTACACTTCTTTATTCGTTGTTTAACATCATTGGGGGATATATCAATTGTTGTTGGTGGGATTTGTTTCATGTGGCTACGTTTTACTGTTATTGTTATGTTTCCTGGTATGGGGTTTTGTGTCTGTCGGGATGTGTGGTGCAGGGATGTGGGTTGTGTGTTTTGTTTTGGGATGGGCGTCGTTGTGGTCCTGTGTTTTGATAACATGTGCATTACCTTGGTGTGTCGTCTTGCTGTTTATTGCATTGTGGAAATGATTGCATTAACTTGTTTTTCCCATAACAGGGTATAGAAATACATGTAATGTTGATTTGTTGTTATGGCAATACGAATGCTGTTGTTAGTTTACAAGCCCCATTTTGATTTGATAGTATGGTGAATCGTATGTGTGAAAAGTTTTGTGGGTTGAACCCGCCAATGTGTGTTTGTTATTCAAAATGCCGGGTTACAATAATTTCACACTACAGAATGATGCCGATAAAGAGAACATGGTCTCTCTTGCACGTCTTTCAGGTTGCAATGCATCGACGTCATCATTCAGTTACGAGGCGTCAAACATTCAAACAACGTTCACATCCCACTTCATGAGGTATGGATCGGTTTCATGTGACACGAATAGGTTGTCTGATGTATCGAATATTTATGATGAACAAGATATGTTGGCCAAATTCTGTTCTCACGTTGAAAAGGTTTTTCTGTCTGCTCCATGGGTGAATGGTATTCGATATGTTAGGAAAAGCTTTGAAGGTGGAGCTGCTGAATTTCGAACGATTCTTCGCAAGTATGTGGTAGAATGCGGGTTTCGATTCAAGAATGTTAAGAATGATTCTGTTCAGATTACAACGATATGCATGATGCAGGAATCTAGAGGATGTGTAACGCCCTAACCCTTTACATCTTATCGATATTGTTCGTTTTGGGTCACGCTCGCATAAATTTGTTCTTCCCAGTGGGTCACCCATCCCAAAACTACTCCAGCCTAAGTACGCTTAACTGGAGAGTTCTATTAGGGATTTCACCATCCAGGAAAAGGCCTCGATACTATATAAGGGTCCAGATTTTTACTTTTATAGCACAAGAATTCTCTCTTCATTCCCGATGTAGGACATCAAGACCTTACAATCCACCCCCTTAAGGTTGCACGTCCCCGTACAGTAGCCTACCAGCTCACAGGCCCACCCACATGCACAGAGAGATGCTAGGGGCCCACACTCGGTACTCCAGAGAGTCGGCTCTGATACCATGGTATTAGAGCTTAGATTCGAACCTTTGGGCCATGGATAGCAATTTATTATTTTTTTTACGTTTAAGAAAACCTTACGTTAACTTGTAATTTTTTGTGACTTAACTAATTTAGAACCTTTTTAATTGTAGATGTCAGGGTCATCAGATATTAAATCTAATGAGGAGGATTCGGTGGGAAACTATGACATAGATTCTGACCCAAGTGAAGAAGTGGAGTCGCCTGTAGAAGACTATGAGCCCGAGTCTGACCTTGAAGAAATTGTACCAATAGAAGACTATGAGTCTGAACCCGAACCCGAAGAGATTGCACCAATGTACAACCCACTGGAGATAATTGTGATTAAGTCTGACACTAAAGAGGAATCTGTAGAGGGCAATACTGATAAGAGCACTGGAGATATAGGGGTTGTGTTTGAGAATTGAGATGTTCGAAATGGGCTGCAAATTGGCTCATTTGTATATGTTAGAATTTATCCCCTATGAGGTTGTGCTTGGAAATCTGAGAGTTGGGTAGGTGCCTACATAGGACCTGTCCAAATTTTAAGCCAAGAGACTCCCTGATTATATCAGCTAGGCCCTTTCCCAGATGGTTTCACCGATAGGATAGGCAATCTTTTCGACAATTGGAGCCTTCAGTATATCATGCCCGACCCAAACAGAAATATGAAGAAAGATGGGTCAGTGGACTTCAAAGACCGGAGGATCTATCAGGAGGAACCAGTGCAACTGCTAGGGCATTGTGTGCAGGAAACTGTTGCCTTCGTGAGGGTGCTGTGGTGATTCATGGGGCTTTTCCAAGCCACGTAGGAGCCAGAGGTCCTTGTGAGGAGAGACTTTCCTTGGCTATTTTAGAGGTTTTAAGGGAATTACAAACTAGGCTAACCAATTGTTTTGTATGCTTATTATGTAAAATTGCCTAGTTTAGAATTGTTGGTGTAGGAGTTAACCTGGTTTTGTAGGGGCTGTCTTTTGCCCGTAGCACTTTATTTTATTTTTGTTTTATTTGTATTTTTCTAATTGTAGCTTGTTTAATCTAATTAATGAAGTTTCTTTTTTTTATTACTATCCTTGCACATAAATATAATAATATATAATAATAACAATAATGATAATAAATAAATGAATAAATCACAAATTACTAAAGATCTCATCGTGCAAAATGGCTGGACGAACAAGAAATAGTAACAACGATAATGGTGATGGAGTGTCTGAGGGCGATGTTGCTCGAATTATACGTGTAATTGTTGATAGGGTAGGTAATATACCACCTTGAAACCAAGATCAAAGCAAATCTGAAATGATAGCAAAATTTAAAAAGCTACATCCCCACAAATTCCTTGGTGGATCAAACCCCTATGAAGCTAAAGCTTGGTTAAGACAAATTAAGAAGTTGTTAGATACTTTTGACATCCAAAATGAGCAAGATAGAGTGACTATGGCAGCATTTCAAATAGAAGGGGAAGCAGATGATTGGTAGGAAATGATCAGAAGTACTCGACAAGTAGAGACATTAACTTGGAGACAATTCAAAGACTTATTCATGGAAAAGTATTTTCCTAACTCGCTAAGACAAGAAATGGTTTAGGAGTTCCTCCAACTGAAACAAGGAAAAATGTCAGTCACTAAATATGCAAAGTGTTTTGAAGCTCTCTTACAGTATTCTTCAGCAATAGTGACAAATGAAGAGAATAAGGTTAGACGATTTGAATGGGGTTTAGACACTGACATTAGAGTAAGATTGATTGCAGTGTAACTTTCCACCTATGCTCAAATGGTGGATCGAGCTTTAATTGTGGAACGAGAATTAGCGGATTCCGAACGTATTCGAAATCAGCGATCAAGGAACAATA